GTCCGCCGTATACCGCTCTCGCTGGGTACCTATACGGTGACATCTGTATGACAGCCCAGCCGCACCTGCGCAGCTCAGGTATGCTCGATGGTATCGCCGAGCCGCCCGTGAAGACCCACGTCGGCCATGTCGTGGGGTCGCTATTCCAGTCTCCCCAGAAGAATACCTTGGGATCCTTCACGTGCGTCTCATACTGCCCTGGGAGCAGTGGCGTGCCCACACTGAGGTCGTAGCAGTCGTCCGTCACCAATGGTGTCCGTATGGTGCCTGCCTGCAGGATCGCATCCCTATACTTGACCAATTCCTCGGGCATCGGGTGCTCCTCCTCGCTCTCGCGCAATAGCTGATTAGTTGCAGGGCACTTATAACAGACATGCCCTATGTAATATGGTTCCTCCTCCTCCTCCTCCTCCTGCTCCTCCTCCTCCTGCTGCTGCTGCTGCTCCTCGCTCCTCCTCCTCCTCCTCCTGCTGCTCCTCCTCCTCCTCCTCCTCCTCCTCCTCCTCCTCCTCCTCTGGAAGCGGGCAACCCTTCACTGCTGACTCCTGGATCGCGAAACGCCTGGAGCGCCCGACCGACACGTCTGGTGGTGCGCGGGGAGGAGTTGCCCATGAGGGAGAGAGATGGAGAAGGAGAAAGGGTGGATAAAGGGACGGGGGAGGAGGGCGAGGAGGACGGGGGATGGGTGTAGGGATGGAGGAGGAGGGCGCAAACGAGGAAGGCGCGGACGACGAGGACGAGAATGTGGAGCAGACACCCCGTGCAGCGCGCGCCACAAGCGGCCGCGGAGCAAGCACCCCGCAGCCCAAGGCTGCACGGCGTCTCGTCCACCAGAACATTGACACGAAAACGATTTGAAGGCACGCCGGGATGAGGGTCGATGGGGGGTCTCTGAGACCTGAAGGGTCTGGAACATGCTTCTGGCGCCGCAACCTTTCCATAGCGCCCTGGAACAGTCTGACAGCTTTCCGGTAAGCTCTGCAGCGATTTGTCTGATTGTCCTCATCGTGGGAGATCCGATGTAGGTATGTTTTTTCAATACTGCTATCCTGGAAATCCCAACTCTTGTCCCAGGGACGGTCCCGAGGCCTGGCGAGGGCCCCAAGAGACAGGAAACACTTAAAAACAAAACCAAATTTCGCACGTTTCTATGCGTTGGGGTGTGGGTCTGAGGCCTGCCTGACATCCTGAGGCTGCTGGACGTCTTATAGACCGGCGCGTGTTCAAAACCAGGTTCGCCCCCCCGGCACTTTGCGAGCAGGATCGATCTGTGATGGCCCCTGGGCCCAATACTGGGCGAAAACGCCAGGCGTGAACAAACTGCAAAGCTAGAGGCCTCCTAAATGGGGTCGAGTAGATGGGGTCGGAGGATCGGGCCGCATCGCCGATACATCGGCGATGCATTGGCGATGCATCGGCGATGTATCGGCGGCACACCGGCGACGCACTGGTGGTGCATCGTCGACGTGGGCGAGGAATCGGCGACGTCGACGTGGAGAAAATCGGGCTCCACATCGAGCCACATCGGCGATTCATCGGCGGTGCGGCGCGACCCTCGGACCTGATCTACTCGGACGGGGCCCGAAACCGTGCGAAAATGCCTGGAGTGAACTAGTTGCAGAAAACCTGGACGGGACCTCGGGGGGTTGCCGCCGTCCTTGCCGCCCTTGCCGCCAAAGGCGCCGCCCTTGTAGCCAGAGGCGCTCGACGGCCAGCCCTTGCCGGCCGGCCGCGGCTGGGGGGCCCGCGTTCTTACCCTCCCTGGTCCTCCCGGGGGGGGGGTCAGTGTGCCTTGAAGAAGGAGGCGAAGTAAGAGGAGGCGAAAGAGGAGGAGTTTTTCATCAGGCGCGGCGCCAAGCGTGCAGGCACAGCTAGGCGGCTCGGGCGCAAGCCCGACCGTGAGATAAAAGGGCCCGAGCACCTCCCCAAAGGGGAGTGCCAGCAGGCGCAGCCAGGGGCCCACAACCCGTCCGCAGCCTCGTCCACGACTACCAGGTCACCGACCAGGCTGTCGAGGACGAAGTCCGCGAACGGCCGAGGCCTAACCTGGCCGCTGGCCAAGGGCAGAGGAAGACCAGTGCGCGGGTGCTTGCCCTCCCACAGGCGACCCAGGCGGGGCCGCGTCTGTGGGGACGCAATCCCGAGGCAAGGCTGCGCGAGGAGCTGAGCGTTCTCGCTCGAATGCGCTACGCACCTCGCGCAAAAAAGGAAAGGGCCCACGCACCATGCGCGGTGGCCACCTCCGGGGCTGCACGCCGCAGGCGTGTAGCCATCACGCGCCCTGGCGACGCGGTAGCAGCGGCAGCAGCGGAAGCCCTTGCCACACGGCACGGGCTCGTGCACGCCAGCGGGCAGCACCACGTCTGCCGTCAGCGCGGGGGCTGTCCCCCCGCGCCGAGCACGTCGCAGGTGGCCGTGCCGCGGCGCGTCGTGCTGGCTGGGGTCCGCTGAGCGCAGCACCCGAGCTAAAAACTTGGCGACAAGCGTCACCAGGTGAAAGGTGCGCTTGACCCGCTCCACCGCAGCACTGTCCGTGGGGTGGAGGGCAGCAGCTTGTCGGGCGCCGAGGTCGGCGCAATGGTTCCCCCAACGCTTGATCAAGCCACGCTCGACGGCACTGCCGTGGCAGCGCGAGCGTGGCCTGTAACCTTCACAACCGTGACGTCACCACCGAAGTCGTCCACGCGATCCCAGATGCGCGCCCAGAGGTCGGCTGCCTCGCACTGGGCAGCAGTGGTCTCGGCGTCCGCACTCGAAGCTGGAAACCACCCAGGCGCAGTCCGAGTGGAAGCAGTAGGGCCCCAAGGCCACGTGCGTCAGATACATGAGGAGGGCGAAGGCCTCCGCAAGATCTGACGCCTGGTGCAGCCCTGGCAGCGGGCCGCAAAGGGAGGCGGTCAGGCATCCTTGCCCGCCCACCTGGACAACCGACCAGCCCGCTCTACTGAGTCGGGGGTCTCCCTGTACCGACGAGGTACAGGAACCGTCTTCGCAGGCCTCGCCTTCGATGCTGCCAGAGCCAGGCCGCTTGAGCCACTGGACGAGGAGGGGGGGCGCAGGGTGAGGGACAGAGGGGCGAGGGTCGGGGGCCAGGGCATGCCTCCAGAGGGCCCAGGTCGAGTGCGCCCCGGGGCCCCGCCTCAGGGGAGGGGGGGGAGGTCATGCTCACGGACGAAGTGCTCGGACGAATTCATCAGTACCCAGATGGGCGAGGCCAATATTCCAGATGATGCCACCGGAGTGGACCCAAGCGCTGGATGACCCGTCGAAGCCATTACTTACTATGGCACGTGATTCGTGCAATGGACCTGTGTGTGGCCACACTGCGTGCATGTACGGAATGGTCTCGCATGATGGTTTCTACATCGGCAAGATATCACTACAGTCAGCCCGTATAAGAAGGATGCGCAACAAGGATGTAAGGGCATTGAAGAGCCACGTTTAAGTTTTCCGAGAGATGTTGGTGAGCGAACGTCGCTAAGGATGGGCCGAAGGGCGAGGGTTTGAACGGGTCGACTGTAATTCGGGTGCGTGAACGTGGACTGGGAGCCAGACTTCTGGAACATTCGAGTAGGGGATCGACTACAAAATCGATGTACCCCGAAATGGATTTCCAGTCGAATCTACGAAAGATGCGTAGAGTGGTCCGTAGATCTACTGACTACTCTACGTATTTTCCTCACGGGTTCGACGAGAGAGCCAACTTTGGGGTAAGTCAACTCTGTCGTCGATTCCCTGCTCGAAACCTCTGCGCGGACCTCTCTTCCCGGCGGCGGGTGCTGGGAGACGGCCTATGCACCGCGTGCTGCGGGCGCCCTTGCGGGGTCAGTGCTCGGGATCCCGCTCCTCCACGCCAGGGGAGACCCGGCGGCGCTGTACAGTGAAGCTCTGGGAATCCAACTTCGGGGAACCAAAAAGGTACCGATGCCGCTGCTCCCCAGACCTCTCCCGGGGTGCGTGCTGACCAGGGTTTCGAGGCGAATCCAGCGGTGGCGACGACGGCCTCCCAGGAGGCCCAACAAGCGGAAAAAACAAGGCAAGGGTAGCGGTATGGGTACATGTTGCTGGTTGCAGCTCCAAGTGCGAATGCGCGCTGTGCGATGAGGCTCTGGGAATCAAAGTTGAAGCTCCTACAGTAGGAGCTCGATCACAAGAAACCTTCCACAAGAAACCAAAGCCTCAGACCCCCAGGAAGTCCATGGATTTTTGGCATGGGAACGACACGCCTTCCATAGAAAGCCATCGACACCCACGAAACCGAGGTCAACGTTTTCTATTTCGGCGGTTCGACCTTGGGCGGAAAGGGGGGAGGGGTGTGTGTGGCTCTGGACATCTGCTTAATGCGACTGTTTGCAACAGTGCGTCCTATGGGGGAGACTCCACCTGTTTGAAACAGGCGCCAGAAACAGCCACGATCTACTCCATGGGGGGGGAGGGTGCGAGGTCCCGCGCCGATCGGCAAAACAATGAATAAGAAAACTATCGCCATCGAAACCCAAGAAACCCATGGCACCCTAGTGGCAAACAGGGTAGTTCTTGGCATGGGCTTCCACTGTACAGTCAACCCGTACCATAATGATGCGCGGTAGGGACGCAAGGGCCTTGGGGGGCCGTGTTCGCGTTTTTCTAACGAGGACGGCCAGCGAACGTCGCTAAGGATGGGCCGAAGGGGCAAGGATGGAAGGGTACCCTTGGGAAGGTTGCCCATCTTTACTATGCGGGTTGACTGTAGTGTGAATGCTGCGGACGCCGACGAGACCTCGCGGCCCTCGGCCCGACAGGGCAGAGAGCGGCTTCCCCGAGACCCCCGTGCGCCCCGTCGCCGACACGACGCCCGCGCCTCGTGGCTCCGCCGACGCTGGGCGCTGGGAGCAATGGCCTACCCCTCCTCCTCCTCCTCGTCCTCCTCTTCCTCATCCTTCGTCTCCTACTCCTCCTCCTCCTCCTGCTCCTGCTCCTGCTCCTGCTCCTCCTCCTCCTCCTCCTCCCCCTCCTCCTCCTCCTCCTTCTCCTCCTCCTCCTTCTTCGCCTCCTCCTCCTCCTCCTCCTCTTTCTCCTCCTCCTCCTCCTTCTCCTCTTGCTCCTCCTGGCCATCGTGTACACCGACATCCCCAAGGACTGAACGCGCCAGTGTGCTGGGCGATGTACTCCCTGGAGCTCTGTCGTTTGGTCTACCGCATCGCGGGCTGTAATCTCTCTGCAGCAGCGCGAATGGCAGATTTGCAAGCCGACGAGGAGGGACCGCTCAGTCTGTGGGGCTGGAGCCGCGCTCCTCCGCTGCTCGCGTGGCGTTCTGGGAAGAGGGATCTCCATCCTGTTCCCCAGGGGTCGCGGCAACAGATCGATGAACACCTGTGCCGTGCGGGACGGCTCGCTGACGACATCCTTGGCTCCTACCACCTCGTCGGGTCCGCCCTGGGCAGCCTTGATTAGCTCTTGCGGAAGATCGGCTTTTCCTCGATCCACGCGCCGACGATAGCGATACCGTTCGAGAGCCAGGAGCAGCATATCCGACGGTGGGTGTTGTCTGGTATCCACAGTTCCATGCAACATATCAGGTGCCAGCCCGCTCGAGAGCGGATACGTGCACATTGAAAGCTCGCCTATGGACTACGTGGGTGTTGAAGGACAAGGTGTCAATGTAAATATATTGCAGGGAGTTCCCCGCGACACCATTACCCAATATGTACTGTACCTGGGCCGCGGCCGCCGCCACCCTTTGGACTGAAGCGTTTACGGGGGGTCTGGAAATTACCGAAGTGGCCTGTCACGACAGCGTTTCTGAATTGGGCAACCCGCCTGCGCCTGCCCAGGGATGTCGTCCGGAGAGGGGGTGACGCGCCTCAAGACCGCATCCCGCGACTTGCTGGAGTTCCTGGAGCCGCCTCCCCAGTGGGCGGCGATGGAGACGGAGCCCATGGAGTCCAGTTGAATCCCAGATCATACAGTCCTTTTGCCAGAGGACAAGGAACACGTCAGAGTGTGGGCAGCGGAAGGCTACGACCTCATGCGGCACCTAGACCAGAGCATCGAGCAGGATGAGAACTGGAGAGTGCGACACGACATCGATGAGGCTGCAGTGTGCGCTTTCCTGTGGGCCGGGGTGCAGGCAGCGCTGCCAACATGGCTGCGTGGTCCAATTGTGTTCCACACCGTGAAATCGAAGTGATTCCAGGTCGACGGCGTATCACGATGTTCGAAGCCAGGGCATTCGTGCATGCGCCGCGTGGTCAACTGCCGCGGCCCCCCTTGCAGCTTCGGGCTTGAAATCCTCGGCAGGACTGCGCGGAAGCTTCTCTCTCTGATTCGTGCTGGAAGGGAGGTCGTCGAGTTGAATGTGGTCGCTGGGGAGTTGAAGATGATGCGCCAGCTACTACATGGAGAGTGCGCAGAGTGCTGCAGCCGGTGCGGGAAGCAGATGTTCGGCTTGACCATCGTGGCGGTAGACGCGGACAAGGCCTTCGAGTAGTTAGTGCACCGCGGGGGATGTTCCGGCGTCCTGGCGAGAGATTGTCCCCGTGCTCGCCGAGGCACTTCTGTCATTGGCTGTGCTTGTGAAGCGTGGTCGGCGAGCGGTATCGCGCCATGTGCAGGCTGGCACAAAAACCCTTGCGGGCTGATTCCGGATTGTGGCGGACGTCTTGGCCAGGGCGTTCTCCATCTTTTGCTGGATCAGCCTCGCGGCAGTCGGCAGGATCATCTACGAGATGAAGGGGCTGCTGGTCGGTGGCGTCCTCTCGGGCGTGGGCGTGGCTCTATCCGTGCTGACGGTGGCCAAAGAGCTTCGAGCAGCCATGGCGCCAGCTCGTTTGCACGAGGGTGTCTGGGTGCCTCCAGTGTCAGATCTGCATAATTAGCGCGGACTCCAAGGTGAGTGGCTGGACCTCGAAATTCGGGGGTGGGAGCTGATCTCATCTGGTTGCGTCGTAATCCGAACCGAGCGTGGTTATTCGATGCCACCGCCAAGCGGCATCGGACTACCGTGCTCCCACAGCCACGTGCTTTTCCCAGGGATTCAGCTCGCCTAGTTGGTCTCATCACTGCTGGCTGGCGCGGGCACGGAGCATGGAGCTCACGTCAGATATTGCAGCATGCTGGGTCCTTGAACTGATTCTTGATTTGTGTCTGATGTCACACCCACTCCCCCTCCTCTCAGCCGCAGCGCATGCGGCCCCGTGGTCAGAGGCGGTGGCAGCGCCCACTCGCTTCCTTGAGCACTGGTCGCCGCGGCAATGGCCAGGGCCGCCCGCCGAGCGGCCGTGGGGGATCTGCCCGAGACCGCGACCGTGGATGGGGCCGCGGCGATGGACGTGACCCCGGGCGTGGCTGGAGCGGCCGGGGTCGCCGCGGCCAGGGCGGAACGACTGCCGCGACGAGGACGACGCGAGGAGCGAGGAGCGCATCCAAGAGGCTGCGCCGGCGCTTGGAGCAGGAGGGCCCGGAGTGCGCGAGCCACCCGAAGGACAGGCGTGACCGGGGGGAGGAGCTCCGCCTGCGGAGGCAGGGGGAGGTCATCGCCGCCGGCATGCGCAGCAAGTGCAGGCCGATGGCGGCCGCCGCAGGCCAGCGCCCCTCCAGCAACTGGGGGCGGGCTGGAGACGCCAGGCACCGCTGCAACGAATCATATCAGCCATGCCGAGTTGGGCTGGCTGCAGACGGACATCGGCCCGAAGATGGGGATACCAGAAGGTACAGATACAGCTACTCCCCGGACCTCTCCAGGGGTGGGTGCGTTCTGACCAGGGATTTCGAGGCGAATCCACCAATGGCAACGAGGGCCTCCCCCACGCACACGCACACACACACACTCACACACACACACACTAGCCGTACATCCAGCAGGACGCGCTGGCACGACAACCGTTTTAAGGTCGCCGAAAAATTCTCACACTGCAACGCAGACTCGCGATGGGAGAAAAAGAAGCGGAGGAAAGAGGACAAAGACGACCAGACTAAATAGCAGAGGGGTGCCTCAGATCTGTCGGCGCAGTTTGTACACCTCTGAAGTCCACTGCTGTCTCGGCCGGCCGCGATGGTGTGCCATCTTGTTGACCTAAGAGTTGGCGAACGAGCGAACCATGAATATTTGCTATTTTGCGGCGCAGCTTTTCCTGTCTGCGCAAGAATAATTGAGAAAGCGGGTCGGCGCGAGCTCTGGCCAGCACGTCTGAGTTTCTCACTCTTGAAATAAACGAAGGCTTTACACCCAAAGCGCGCCGCAAACACAGGCAATGGAACGCATCGATTCTGCGTCGGTCAGATTGTAATAACCACAGAGAATCAAGCGAATACTATAGTTTACCCAGGACACAAGTGTCGTATACTTGGTATTTCCTTTTCCACCCCACTGCTGTATGTGACCACAATTTCGCGAGCTGCTTGAAAACGCGCTGCGCTTCGCCCAAGCGCTGGGTGACCTCTGGTGACGCTTTGCCATCACAAGTAAGCAGCCCACCTAAATTCACTGCATCCTGAACTGTTTTTATAGGGCCTCCATCTGGGCGAACTACCGTGCTGTTCGTCGATATCCGCTTATGTAGCGTTTTGGCCCAGTTCAGCTGCAGACCATATTTCTGCCCTTCCGCGACGACAGCGTTCAACATGCTTTGAATATTAGCCGACATGTGTGAAACCAACAACGTGTCGTCCGCGTACAGGATGTCTAGTGTTACTACGTAAGCAGGCTCGGCCTCAAAACCGATATCTTGAAACGCATCATGAAGCATGACTGACTGCACTGCGATAAACGAATAAGGAGAAAGAGGGCACCCTTGAGCGATACCTGCCATTTGTCGTCTTTCGTATGACTTCCCAATGTGGTCTACAATGGTGAAGTAACGCTCGGCATAAATAACGAGGGCCTCCCGGGAGTCCCAGAAGTAGGGACAACGAGGCAAGTGTAGCGGTATCAGTACCTTTCCTCCTCTGAGAAGAAGGCTGTCCCCAGCCAGGCCACAGTGTTGCGGCTCGAGACTTTCCTCGTGCATTGTCTTGGTGGTGGGTGTGGAAGTGTTCATCGTATTTCAGATTGCGGAGCTCTGGACAATTCCAGTCGTCGACGCCTGGGATGACGGTGGTCAGTTTCAAGCTGTTTTGGGTGATGACGGTCGATTTCAAGAAGGTCGGTCTCGAGTTGCTGGGGGTGGTGACTATCGGGTTCAAGCTGAAGGGTCATGGTCGCCACTGGCCCGGTAGGCGAAGTCGCGTAGGCGGAGTGGACGCTCCACTCACACGCTTGGGAGGCTTCCACACTCCAGGCGCTCATCGACGCGTGGTGGCCCAGCACGCTCCAGGTCTACAGCGCCAGGGAGACGGGGACGGTGCAGACGCGATGATGGGTGCAGCCGTGGCGCTCTTGTCTGGATGCATTGCCCGGTGAGCAGACATAGGAGGGACGGTTGTCATTGCGAGAAGGCACCGCCAGCGAGCCTTGCGTGACATGTGAGCACGCGCGGATACGGTACTGGGCTCCCTCCTCCTTTGCTTCATCGTGCGACTCGCATTCTGAAACTGTCGTCGCAAATCTGCCCCCAGGCCCTATCGCTCCAGCAGCGCGTGCACGGCCGAATCTGTCTTTCTGGACCTAATTTTGCCCGCGTGCATGAGGGGTGCTTCATGGCCCACGCGAAGCTCACAGTCATGGAGTAGATGGCCTCGCCCACAGAAGAAACATAACGTGTGCAGCTGCACTTGGCAGCCGCGACAGCAGGATGACCTCCTCCATCCTCTTCCTCCTCCTCCTCCCTCCTCCTCTTCCTCCTCATCCTCCTCCTCCTCATTCTCCTCCTCCTCCTCCTCCTCCTCGTCCGTCCTTCTCCTTCCCCCCTTCCCTCCTCCCGCCCCTCACACCGCGGTCGAGTGGCCTCCCCCACCAGGGATGCGGCCGGCCCGGCCTTGCCGCAGGCGCCCCAGCTGGCGCCCTTCCCTGGGTCGCCCTTGTAGCCGCCCCAGGGCCCGTAGTCCACGTACCCGTAGCCCCCGGCGCTGGGCCCGTAGCCTCCTCGAGGAGGAGGAAGCAGGAGGCGGAGGGAGGAGGAGGAGGAGGAGAAGGAGGACAGTGCACCTAGGAAGCATGAGTTACGCTGCAGTACACTTTCCCGTCGCATCCCAAGTCCCCTGTCCATGCGTCTCTATAGGCCTCCCTGCTCACCATCAAAAGCGCCCCCTTGAAAGACGAGCACCCCGGTAGCTTGCCATTCAGGCGAGAGCCCTGTCCTGAAAAAGAACAGCCGTGCACGTCTCTATCGCGTTATGAAGAATTCGCAAAGCTAGGACCATCAACTCGAACGGCGCAATCAGCAATAACTCCGTTTGGGAGAAGAGCGGCCCCCATCCGTGCAACTAGTGCACACATGCGCACATCTGCTCGCGAAGCTTTTGGAAGTCTACCGACTAGAACCCCAATTAGTAAAGGAATCCCACTACGCCCGTGCAGTAGATACATATGTTCAATCGTCTGGTCGTCAAGCGAGAATCACATTTTGAGAAAAGAACTATCCTCCATTCTTGCACTTGCTGCAAGCTTTGAAAACGAATGAGCGCGGCCCTAAAGCGATACTTTTCTATGTGAAAGGAACTGTCATCACCCCTTTGCAACGGTAACAAACTTTATACATACATTCGCGCGGAACTACAACAATAAACACATGTGGAACACTCCCCTCCGCCCGCGTAGCTGCTACAAGTGCAAGCTTTCAACACGAAAATAAAAGGCGCCTAGGCGCGAACCTCATGTTGAACACCACCCCTTCCATCCTGGTAGTTGCTTTAATCGTTGCAGACGAATGTGCACGGCGCTAACGCGACAATCCTGCGTTTCATCTGTGTAAGGTGTCGTGAGTATCAAAGACCGAGATGCGCAGCACAAGGCGGCAACCCCACCTTGAAACGACCTATGCTGCATCCTTCTCACAAGCTCTCAAGCTGGTAAGAATGAATGTGCGCAACAACCACCCACCCTTCCTTAGAGCCAATGCCAATTTAGTCTACGACGATCACCACACCGTTTGCTTGTTTACGCCGCCGTAATTCCAGTTTCCTTCATACATGAGTTTCGTTCCGCCAGTTTCTGTTCGACCACCGGCCTGCAGATAGAAACTAAAGGGCAACATCAAACAATTTCACGAACAAATCTATCACCATCGGAAACGCAAGTGCACGTTCAATCTGGAATAGACATTTTAGGATTGTTCCAATGGTAGGACCTCACATGCTAATCCCCTGGGTGTACATGTACGTGACCATCGACGACCAATGACCGTGAGGGTACTAGGATGCCAGGATACCAAGACGCCACGTCACCAAGGTGCCATTACGCCAGGGATGTCATGATGCCAGGGCGCCAGGCGGCAAGCAGGCCAGCATGGCAAGAACCCAAGATGCCTGTGGAACTTGTGCAGCCTGTGGGACGTGTAGGACCTGTGGGGCCTGTGGGACCCGTGGACCATTTGGGGCCCGTGCGACCTGCGGGCCCTGTGGGGCCTCCGGAACAGGTGGGGCTTGTGCGACCCGTGGGAGCTGTGGGACCAGTGCTACCTGTCGGGCCTGTAGGGCGTATGGGACGTGTGCCCTATGGGACTTATGCGACCTGTGGGGCATTTGATATCTGTGAGGTCTGTGGGACCCGTGCCACCTGCGGGGCGTGTTTTTTTGTTGTGGCCTCTGGGATCCGTGAAAAAATGTCTGGCCTGCGGAGCATGTGCCAAGGATGCCAGGGGTGCCAGGATGCCGGAGATATCAGGGATGCCAGGACGCCAGGTTGCCAGGATGCGAGCGCAAAATTATGAGGGCACTGCGTTTTCCTCGTCGGCATTCTGTCTCACCAACTCTGCCACTGTCCTCACGCGCTGGCCCTCGAACGGAACGGAAAGCGGCCGATAATATATACCCACCACATAGGATAGGCGGATTCCCCTTTTGAAACGTGGGGTTTAACGACACACACACAAGAGAGGGAGGACTGGGCGGGAAACTTGAACGGTAGCATCTTGGATCTAGAAACCTGTCGTCATGGGTGCAAGCATACTTCGCACTAACGTGAGGGCCCTGCATTTTCCTCGCCAACAATATGTCTCATCAACTCTGCCACCGTCTTCAAGCGCTGGCCCTCAAAACGGAACGGAAGGCGGCTGATAAGCATCTACACCACATACGATAGGCTGAATCCCAAAACGTCTCTCGAGGATGCGAGCTTATGAACGAATTGATGGAACAGAGGTAGGCCCGATTGTATACTGCGGAGCTGCACAAAACCTCGGCCAGAAAATACGGCAGTTTGGGCGGAAGGTCTGGCCCGGGAAGTCATTCGTTTTTCCTTCGAGTTCATCGTGGCGTTTACAAGAAAAGCTGCAAACTCCACGTCCCTGACCGACGTACTGAGCACAAGGGGAAACGCCTATACTGTCGCAGCGCCCGAACATCAGCTGAGTATGCTTGCGCCATGGAGCTCCAAGAGCGCACTGGTCCACTATCTTTACATGCACCTTCGGATCGGTCGCGAGCCGCGCGAACTCGGGCGCGCGCCAGAGGATGCTCGTCGCCGGGCTCTCAACCGCCCAAGGGACCCCCAGGACATGCGCAAAACTGATAAGTTTGAGGATCGTCTGAGCTCGCAGATTTCCAATTCGAAATGCAGGAAGGTCCTTGTCCGAAAAGGGTATCGACGCCACCGAGACGCCAAGGTTCAGCCCGCGACCGAATCACATTGGTGCGATGCCTAGCTACGCCGGGCGACCGACACCCAATGGCAATCATCACGGCGACAATATTTTCGCGCTTTGCCTCCGCGCGCAAGATTGATATTCCTGATATCCGCCAGGTCAAAGGTGTCTGCAACTGATGTGCCCCGCGACCTCGCTCGAATGCCATGTCGGCCTGCAGCCCGACCGACGCTGCCAGTGCCCCCGAACAGGTCTGCTAAGTACGGCGTCGCTTCTTTGGGACTACGGCCGGGATGACGGGCAGTGCGATGGCCGAGGGGTCGATCTGGCCGCGCAAGAGGGCCCCGAGCTGGAGTTCGCATCTTCTCACGCGCGAACCCTGGGAGTCGGGCGGCTGGTCGACGCTCTCGACTATCTTGGCCTTGCTGTCGCAGCGCAGGGCGGACTCGTCGGCGCCCCGCCTGCCCCTGGCCTTGATCACGGCACGGGTGCGGAACTTCATGGCGGCATCGACTGAGGCGCCTGAGTGCCTTGCCTGATGCGGCGGGGACGACGCCCCCAACCGCTCGCAGGCCATCTATAACTGGTGAGCGCAGCTGCTGCGCGCGAAGCCGAAGACCTGGCCCTTCGGATCTCCTGTCCGAAGCGCGGCGACCAGTGTCGCATAGCGCGGGGCCCGCCGGCAGCTCAGCTCGATGCTCTCGTCGGTCGCGCGCGTCTTGGAAGCCTGGCCCCTCTCCTGTCGGAAGGCAACGCAGACCCGCGAGGCAGAGAGCCCGCGGGCGGGCGCCAGCAGGTCTTCCTTGAGGATCTTCAGCGGCTCGGACGGCCTCATGTGCGTCACTGGGCATGAACGGCGCGCGCGTAGGTCGCCATGCGCCAAACGTTGCTCCCTCAGAGCGCCCATATGAGGGCCGCCCAGATGCCGAAGGACAGGGGGCGGCGAGAACGCGGGGGGCATCGGCGCCTCCAGCCCTTCAAGGCACGATAGCTCCGCGAAAGGTGGAGCCCGCCATGACGGCCGAACTCGGGAAGGAAATGCTCCGGCCCCGCCACGAGCTTCTCGCCCTAGCTGACGTTCTAGAGCTCATGTAGCTGCCGCGCAACTGACGCGCCCGCCTCGGCGGCCTCGCTGGGGAACTCGCTTAGAAACTGGGCGCGTGCCCTACAGTTCGTGACCAGTTCGCAGTACTGCAGCTCGGTCTTGGACCGTTTGGCGCTGGACCCCAGCGGCAGGAATCCGAGCTTTCGAAGACGTCTAGGCTCGATTGGATAACGGGCCTGCATCACCTTGGGCAGCGGCAGGGTCCGCGCTTTTTGGCGCCGGCGGACTCTGACCCTCTCCGTCTCTGATGTCACGTCGCTCGCGTCGTCGTTCTCCACGCTGGCCTCCTCGGTCTCCTCGCCCAGGGTCGCTGGCGAGACCTCGGGGGGAGCCCGCTGCAGCCGCGCCGCCAGTTCGCCGCCTGGAGTCAGCGGCTGAGCTCGGGCTGGCTGGCCCGGCGCAGGCGGGGGGCCCGTCTCCGCCGCGGCTCGCGTCGAAGCTGGCCTCGATTCGATGGCGCCGCGGTCGCCCCCCGCGGCTGCTGGCGCGCCTGCGTCGCTAACCGCGCCGGCGGGCGCCGAGGTCCCCGGCCCGGCGCAGCCGTCGGCGTCGCTGGGGTCACATTGGGCACAAGCTCTGATACGATGGGGAACGCTAGCGTGACTGCAACCAACAGGTGAGCCAGCATGGTCTACTGAAAGCATACGTGAATGTTCATCAGCCGAGTTCCATTCAGAAGGTATCCGTCGGACATGCGCGCGATGGCCCAGCGATAGACACCAGGCCCCCATCCGTCGCGCACATATGAAAGTCTGGAAGTCGGTCGCCCCCTCGCGTGCGAAAGACAGACGAACCCCCATAATATCAACTGAGAAGAGCAGACGCGAGCCTCTGATCCGGCACTCACCCACCACCGACTGGAAACCCGACGCGGGAGCTCTAGCATCCAGCGCAAGGATGCTCTCGTCGAAATAATTCCAAGGGCCAGCCAAGTGGGCGCTCCAGTGGGACTTCGAGAGGAGCTTGTGGGGGACCCCGGGGAAGTTCACGCCCATCTCGCCAGGCCGCCTGGGCCCGCCCCCCTCGCCCTCAGAAGCCAATTCCTCGAGGCCCTCGAAGAAGCGCTCGCGAGCAGAAGCTCCAGGAAGCCTCCGACAGCGCCCTCTCTCCATGGCCCCACCCCCACCTCGGCCGCGCCGTCGGGGCCCCATTCCGACGCCGTTGAAGCGAAGCCCTCCTGCGACGCATCCGCGGCCACCGCTCGGGTGGCCCAGGGCGACGCCCACGAGGCACCCA